ATGTATCAGTCACAGAATAAGTTGTTTAATTAAACAGATACGGAATACAATTATAAACAGTCCATCTTCGGAAGAATACTTGTAACCATTTAACGATTTCTTTGTAAAATTTACCTTCTGTTGTGCTTTCCGAGCCATCCGTGGGTATTAAAACTTGTTTAATTGAGTCTGGATTGACTTTAAAACCTCCGAATTTGTCTTGCCTTGCAGCATCCGACAGGAGAATCAAAACATTGCTGACGACTACACTTTGATTGAACCTCATCATGAAGTCAAGAACAACACTGCCACACCTAGATAAGGGGGGGCGGGGGCGGAAAAGAGCAAAGAGTATTATCACACATATTTGTACTTTGGTGACTTTTAAGTGTTAAAATATATTGAAATTTAACCAATGTAATAAATTAAGGTAAATAAAATTCATTCGTATCCTTCTGTGCCAATATCTCACTGTATATTAAATATAAATTATCTTGCATTAAATAAAATTTGCTCGAGAAGAAAAACCAGTTTTACCGTTAAAATACAACACACTGAGAAAAAGCTCCCTCCCCCTTCCAAAACACAAATTTGCGTTTGTTGTTTCAGTGTAAAACAACAACCTGTAACTTACCTGGTGTTCACAGTGTTGGCGGAGGAGCAGCCAAACCTAAAGGCAATTTGACAAGCCTGAAAGGACATATCAATATTGTCACATATTAAAGATCGTTCAAAATATCCTTTTTAACAGAAATATTAAGATTTGATTCAAGAACAGATTGATTAAGGTTCACTTTTCATGATAAATCTCATGGCAGTATTCCTTAAACTCCAGTATATGGATCAAGTAGATTATCTCACCATTTCTGGAAATTTCGCAGCAACTTCTGAACGTCTGCTACAGTTCTCCTGTATTGTCGCTGTCAGGTAAACTTCTGAGCTTACTGTTTGAATTGGGGAAAAACAAAATACGGCTTAAAATGAACGTTTGTTTGTTTGCACAAGAATTATCATTTGAACTCATGTACAAAAAACAGCCTTTACTTACAAAGAACACTGTCATCAAATGTACGAAAGGGAGGCCAATTTGAGAGATATTTTTTTTCTTGGGTTCTGCGTCACGATGGTGTTCTCAGAATCGTTCCCCAAGTCGTCTTCCTTTTTCGCCGAAGTATAACTTTTTGAAATAACCGCAAGTTATGACATAGATGACATTGGTTGAGGCAGTCTCAACATTATTTAAGAAAGGAAAAGTTTTGTGTCATGCACGCAAGGTGAAAGCCTCGGGTTGATCATTTATTTAGAAAGTATTTCTGACCAAATAGTTGTCTATGTTTTATGCGAAAATAATATACCAGTTTTTGGATCATTTTGAAGTAATTTAAATTTGTTAGAAGGACAGGTCTTGCCGGTAAAATGGAATACGATCATTTTTTTCCTTCTGTGACGTTTGTAGAATGCCTACTTTCGATCAGTTTTTTAAGACTCCCTTGAATGACAAAGGTAGGAGAAGAACTGGCGTATTACCTCTGACATCTTGGAAAATCAGAACTGTCAATATATAGGCTATGAAGCCTAAGACACTGAGAACAAGGAATGGTATTCTTGAGATGTGATAGATTTGAAGATGACAAAACTATGAGACATCGTGGGTCTGTAGCACACCCACTGATGCATAGACTGTTATCTGTTAACTTTGACTTCTAGAGAAGCCAAAGAGGTGTCAGAAATTTCCTAGATCTATTTTAGAGCTCAATGAAAGTAACTGACCGCAATTAAAAAATGACTGAGTTCCTCTCTGGTGGAAAAAGTAGCACTGATACAGTGATCAACGTAGCGACCTCAAATTCCAGCCCCCTATTTACGCCTGGTGGATGACTCTATCTCTTTGTAATACATTTGCATGTTAAGGGTCGATTCCCTGTCATTATAAATAAGTCCCGTCTAGGAATGCAATTTCTGAATTCGATATCATTTACACAGCCATCAGCTGGGAGTGTAATTGCTGCCGTTCGTGAAGATTCTTAAGCAAGACTGCTGTTTCGATTCTTTCTGAATCTCTTTAGTAGCCTCCTAAGAACGAATTTGGTCGCGGAAGAATTACGAGAGCCCACAGGCCCTTCAACTCTTTTTAATTTTCCTTTTTTTAACTTTCCTTTTTAACGAAGGAGCGGCAACAGACAGTGAATTCCCATTATATACATTTCTCGCTACTCTCTCTTCCATCAAAGATGTTCACTCGACTGCGACAAGATGCAAACGACTTAAGCCCCGTTAGACAACTGAATGACAGTTTCAACTTTCATTCACATCATTAACTATCAAGTTTGTGTTCAAACGGTTAGTCGATGATAGTTGACAAAAAATCAGGCAATGAGATCGCGTAATTGTACACAAATACGGTGCACTCTGAGGTCAGCAATTTCAGCGGCATTTGAAATTTTAGTAAAGAAGTTACAAGTTAAAGATACTGAAGCCTACCAAGAAATGATGGGAATTAATTACGAGACATTCTGGGAAATTTCGACGGCTATTTTAGTCATTTTACCATTACCATTTCGGTTTGAGCCCGTTTTTGGGCAAAACTGCTGACCTAACAACTATCATTCACTATCCTTCTCTTCTTCAAACAGCAAAAGCTATCATTAACTATCATGTCGAATTTGGACATGTCCAAACTACATGATTTTTGATGAAATGCGATGATAGAACATGACAGTTCGTGTTCAAACGCGCTTGATAGTTAACACTATCGTCAAGTATCATGACCGTTTAAACGGGGCTTCAGTTTTACTTTTGCGAACATGATGCAAGGCAATCAGAGTGCGGACAGGTTCAGAATAAATAATGTTTTCTTCTTCAGATGTCGTGTATGATGTCAGCCTCGGTTGAAATGATATTTCATTGAGCGTTATTGTGAACTTTGGTTTGGGAAAATGAGTCAGAGTTGAAAGAAACGACCATAAGCAACTTCCAGTTGAGAGATTACCGGTCGACTGATAGATGGGTATAAATGAGGAGAGTGAGTCAGTGAAACAATACGCCAGAAACGTACGGGCTTCTCCTATATCTTCTCTTTATGTCGCCAGTTATGATTGTTCACTTCACAGTTTTCTCTATTGAGTCAAACTCCTCTGATAGTTTTACTAAATTAAAAAGAATAGTCACTTTCAACCTGTTTTCAGTTCTTCTCTTCAGATTATTCGTGTTTCACGATTTTCCTCTTTAAACCAAATTTCAATGATCATGGCAACTCTGGGCACTGAAATACGGAATTTGTCTTGTTTCTGTTTCTTTCGCTGCTAAAGTTTGATTTAAACGAAGACAAGCTAGAACTAGAATATCTAATCTCAAACTTGATAACGAAAAGAGACTTAAGATTCGACATCAAAGATGTTTGTAGAAAACTAGAAAGGTTTCATGTGGGTTAAAGGATGTGAAGCAGCGCAAGGAAAGAATTTGCAACCCGTGTTTTGAGCGGGAAATCATACTGGTGAGGTTGTTGTTGAAAAGTGATTCTTGGTATTTTGCAATTTCTAATAAACTTGCAAAGCAACGATACTCATAGCTAAAGCTTTTCCCTTTTCCAAAAGGAAGAAATAGAGAGAAGAGACAAAGAGAGAGAGACCAAAGAGAGAGACCAAAGAGAGAAAGAACTTAAAAGGCGTGGAGCGAGTCGAGAAAAACGCGAAATGGGGATTGATAGGGCGAAGAATAGGCAGAACACAGCGAGGGGAAGACGATAGAGAACAAGAAAAGGTTAAAGTAGAATGGCGAATATCTAGCGAAGACCAATGTGAGAAGAGAATACAAAGAGCTCCAGAAAAGAGACTGAAAAGAGATCATCAACAAAGAGAGAGTTAACTACGTTTGTAGCGAAAACGAAGATCCCCGAAAACTAAGACCTAAGACCTAAGAAAATGAATACCCCTTCATGACCTTGAGACAGGAAGTTTGCGTCAAGCTCTGTAGCCTCACCGAAGAAAACCTGTGAAAAGATAGACAACCTCTCTGTTCGGAGCGTGAGGCAGCGTGACCATACATTCTTAATTAAGCTAAAGCGAAATCGCCGACAATTCTGAGTTCTCGCGGTTCAGTAATCTGGTGTCGAAATTACGGTGCGCAGAGGAGGCTAAGTTTTAAGTCGCTTTCATCGGTATGAAGAATAAAGTGCCGTGGTGGTAAAAATGACAGAAGAGTTCTCGGAATTCAGTGTGGGAGAGTGAAATTTTTTTGCGGGAGAGAGGCATCAGCTAAGTGATGGCAGCAAAGGAAAGACAAAAGCAGTTAATTTAAATGTAAGAAGATTAAACGAAAGTGTTGCAGACTTCTCTTACCAGATTCAGATCAGCATGTGTCAGACTTAAAATATTTGTGTGTGCCAGCCAATGATTAAAATCTCAGTTAATAGATATGCCATATATTTGCAGTTGGCATACAAATATCAACTGCGACGTAAGTAAAATTTTTCTCGTTGATTCAGCTTCTTGCAAGCGAAGAATTCACCCGTAAAATCCTCGATGTTGATGACACGGAGAGTGCTTGAAAACTAAGTAAAGAAAAGGATAAACCGTTGAAAGGGGAAAATAAGATTCATTTGAACATACCTCCTTCTGCCTTGACTTGCTGGATATTTGCTCTCTCTTGTTTCAGGCTTTCGCCAAACTCATTAGTTGCAGTAATGGCAAACTGATACACCTTTCCTCTTTCCAACGCTATTTTCAATTCTCTCACAGAAACATCTCTAATTCTCCTTACTTCTATCCACTGTCCCACTTTCCCATCAGTCACAACTCTTAGGTACACTGTATACATGTTGATAACTTTTCCATTACTTTCTGGCTCCTTCCACTTTAGGGTAATTGTATCGTCTGTTGTTTCACCTGGCAGTTCGTCTATTTCGACCACATCTGGGGCTCCTAGATTGATGTCAACGACACGAACAGCGTGAAATTTCTAATAATTATATAACTTCTTGTTACAAACCTGGTCAGAACCATTATCAGTGATTAACTAATCTGTAAACTGGTCGAGGATTTGTTTGGGATATTTCTGAGACGAAAGTGTATGGCAACCAAATTAAGTTAAGTATTGAGATGAATTCAAAATAATTTGAAAGGACAAAAAGTGATAATGAGAAGCCTAAAATGATGGTCGGTTATTGCCTAAAACAAATACTGCATTTATAAGGTGAATTTGAACGATACACTGACTTCTACTGGCATTGTAATTGCTATTTACACGTGATCTAATGAAGGACCGATGCATAGATGACGTCACAATTCACCGTTCGTTTATGTCACGTAGTTACAGAAAGGATCTCAGTTCGTGTGCAACCACTTTCCGTTTTTGAAAAGTTTGACATCGCGCATGATTAAGTACAGGCCTACGATTCTTCTTCTGCAAATATAAGCTGGCGCGGGTTTTTCCGCCGGGACAACAAGCTTTTTTCTTCAGGTGGTTTGCCAACCGAGGAGGCAATGACAAGAAGCGCTCAAGCGATAACAGGTGCGACGAACTTCATTGCCATAATACGGCTGCTCAAATTCAGTTACTAAGTTCACACCTGTTACCACAATAGTTTTTTTGTTGAGTGAGATATGTGCCGGATGAGATTCGAAAGAAACTTTCTTGAAAACGGCAACCTTAATCGTTTTGGTTTGGGCTTATCCCAGCAAAATGAAAATAAGCTATTTCTCATCTTAAAGAAAATATACGAAGGATTCTTCGAGGCCGTCCACACACTGTTTGACGAGATTTCCCCATAATATTTGCATATTAGAAGCGACATTCATGAAAGGCCCATTTCTTCAAACTTCAATTCTTTGGTCAAACGATGTGTGGAAATTGTCTCACTGCCTAAAGGGATAGTTGGTTATCGGGCGTTCTGAATATGGTCAGTAAGAGTTTAGGAAAAATGTACACAA